TAGATATATAATTTAATTAAAAATTATTTATATTTTTAAAAAAGAAAAGAAAAAGGAAACTAAAAAAATAAAAAATATGGAAAAAATGAAAAAATTTAAATGATCATAAGCCACGAGGTCTCGCCACATCGTTATTGACTATGCTTACAAAATTTTATATTGATATTTATTTTAATAATATAAATTACTAATATACTTGTTTATAAAATATGTTTAAAATATATTTGAAGCATCTAAATGAAGTTCTCTTCTTTCATTAATGACATAATTATGTTTATTTATTCAAGTTTTATGATGGAGGAAGTTTGGTTTGGTAATCATTTAATTATGTTTAATTGTACTCTTATCTTACAATAATAACTTCAATTTTTTATCTCACTATATGAATTTGGCTACACAAATTCTTTTTCTTTATTTTATGCTTCTCTTTTAATGACCAACATTCTATACTATAAAACATTGCAGGTCTGATCACCACGATTTTTTATAACTTTTTTCTTAAAATTGAGGTGTACGTACTTTTCTTTCTCACAACATGCTCGATACATTCTTCCACTTCAACCATACAACTGAAATTCTACTAATAATATTTCCATCTATTTCACCATCGTTTTAAATAATAGATTTGGAATATCACGACATCATATACTTAAATGCTTATTAAGCATGAAAATACTTATTGTTCATCATTAACTAGTATTTTAAATTCTTCTTTTTTTTCCATACTTCTAGTTAATATATAACAAACTATTATTGGATTGAAGCTTAGGCTTCAATTGAGATAGCTTTCTTACTGCTTTCTGAAGCAGTTGAAAATTTTTATATTAAAAAGTTGCTTCAGAAAGCAATGAGAAAGCTGTCGAAAATGAAACCTTAGTGGTTACCATAGCCTTCCTTAGAAGAGAATTGATTTACATACCCAAAAATTCAACATCAGCATACAAAGAAATATATGTAGTTAGGTTAATTTTATATCCATCTTTAGGATTCATTTAGGATAGTTTTCTTATTGCTTTATAAAGCAAATTTTAGGTACAAATTTTTTAAAAAATAGAAAAAAAAATATGGACCAAAAGCTATCCCAAATAAAACATAATCAAACTTAATAAATTAATATCTTCAAACTTTGTTGCAAGTCAAAAAGCTTCCACAGATAAAATTATTAGGTGCGGAGTGTACACCATCCGCACAAATATGGGTACCTAGCGGTACCAAGCAGTACCGAGTGCCGGTACCTAGCACGGAATAAGATTTGTGCGGACAGTTCTCCCCGTCCACACTCCGCACCTAATAATCTCTCTAATAGATGGCCTCAGTATTTATCATTAAAACTTTTGTTAACATATTTTTCATGACTAAAATGTCACAGAAACACAGATTGTTGCATAGCTTTTGGGTTCAACTATATAAATCATTTTTCTCTACTATGTCATATTAAAAGTCAAATTATTTTTTAAATCTAACCAAAAAATGTTACCTCTTCTACTTTCTAAACAACTCTTTTTAGGTCTATAACTACTTTTCGTAACATAAATCAGATCTTATACATCTACTCTCCTAACCAGGTCATCAGAATACCGCGTTTTATGTAACCAAACCTTCTAAACGACTCTCTATAATCTTAGCTTCCATTTGAGCTACTCCAATCTTTTCGGGTGCCTTTTTGAAGTTGTAATTATTGCATAGCATCATTTTAAGAAAATAAAATCTCTGAAGTTAGCTTACACAGAAGTATTAATTCAAGTAAACCTAAGCAAGATTAGTTGTTTCTTAAAGCTGGAGATGCAATTTAAGAAAGTTGCATGCTTGTTTGTGCAGATGCTGAATGTCGTTCGAAGATCAATTATAATGCACCACGTCACGCTTTAGTTCGCTACCGTGGCTCAGCCGCTCGGTACCACTAATATGACGTATTCTTATTAGACTACGGATTTCTCCTATAAAAGAGCAGCTCAAACCTGCATACTTTTCTGATTTTTGTTTTGTTTTTTTTTTTAAAAAAAATCTTTTTTATGTCCATATGATTATGCATGCCATTATATGGGCAAAAATACTGACAGATTTATCATACCAAATCTTAGAAATAATATTACAGTTTAAGAAGAACAGTGAAAGCAACAGTTCAATCCTGTTGGGATGTCAGTTTAAGGACAGTGCTCATTTCAAATCAGTAACAGAGTAGGTCTGTGCATTTTTGGGTTTTTATTTTTATTTTTTTGGTTAGAACAAATCTTCACCTATTTGTGCCCTTTTTTATGAAAGAAATTGGCTAAGTATAAAATAGATTTTAAAAATATTAAATTATTTTTAGAGAAATATAATCTAAAATTTAATTAAATTTTAATATATTTATTCATCATAAAATTTAATAACTTCAAAAATTATTTGATTAGATGCTCAAGACTTCAGGTGCCAAAATGACGTAGAATAAAGAAGATTACTTTGCTTAAATGAGTATATAAAAGAATTATGATCATATAGATGTCTGAGATCTAGTTCAAGTTTAACTTAATAAATATGATGTTGGGGATGAGGAATAAACACGATAATGACGAAACAAGCAAGAAAGTAGAAGCAATGAGGAAATAAAGGACATTAGGATTTAATGTGGAAAGTTTCAAAATAGGAAAAAAAACATGGAGCCACATCATATCAATAAATCCACTATGTAAATTGGGAGAAATAAGTACAAATCGCTATTCTCTCTCACACTCTCTCATTGCTTCTCTTCTCGCATACACCGTTCTGTAAGTCTAAACATTCGAAATACAAGAGAAAACTAAGTAAATAACCCCAATGGGCACAAACCTTCGGAAAAATGAGAAAGAAAACCATCAAGTCCGTCTCGCAACATTGCAACGCCAGTTTGGAGCGCTGTGGCGCTTGAACCGCTATCTTGATCTGTTGCGATGTCGTATCTAGACTGTTGCGGTGCTCCGCTCTATGTCGTTCAGTGCTGGGACGCTCGAGACACAACGTCGGGACACTCGGATACGTAGTGCCTAGGTTCTCGGGTGCACAGTACTGCCATGGAATTGTACGAAATAATTTTTTGGTAAAAAATTTTAAATTTTTTATAAACTAGGAAACCAAAGTAAAAAGAGAATGACGGGAGGAATCAAAGAAGATGATAAGATGAAATATTTTGTATAAAATTATGACTCAATAGTACCATCATATTTCCTTTGTGTTTTCATCTTTATAGCCCAATTTTTCAAGACATTAAAATGGGGCTTAAATTCTATTATAAATTTGTTACAAAATGAGTTGTTACTGTGAATCTATATATGACAAATTTTATATGACAAATTTGATCCACAATACGACATGCTATAAAAAGATTAAGTTATTTGCAACCGCAAATAACGAGCATCACAAATTGGTCACAAATTTATGATGGCTCTATTTCATTGCAAAAATCCATTGCAAAATGGCTTCAATATTTTAGTTTTATGCAAGCTGCTAAATCACAAAGCATATGCATTGATTTGTTATCTTCTACCTGTCTCTGTCTTCTTATCACAATAATGCTTATCAGTTTTGCCTTCTCTAAGCTCAACCATGACATGACTTAAAGTATCCAACACTTCAATATCATTCCAAGATATTGAGGCTTCGTTTGGGGAGAGATTATTCTGTGGCGGTGTCCAAACGCGTCAGTAGGCCAATCCGAATGTGTCACGTCATCTAATGCATTGTGCATTGGGTGACGTGGCACGTCCGGATTGGCCTATGGATACGTCCAGACACCACGCCTAATATTTTTTCTCGTTTGTGAGCTTTCTTATCGCTTTCTAAAACAGCTTTTTAGTACAAAATTTCTAATTCAAT